CTATATATATATATATATATATATATATATATATATATATATATATATATATATATATATATATGGGGAGAATATATGGCAAAGTGGAAAAAAGATTTCTTGTGAGGTGTTTCGTCCTTTAGGCTTTCATCAGACTATGTTTATGTTTTTCCCCAATATTGTTCCTGATATATAAAAATATATATCGTAATCTCATATATATATATATATATATATATATATATATATATATATATATGATAAAATAAAGAACAAATAGGGAACGTATATCAATCTGACACGTCTCACTTTTATTAAAGCTTCGTCAGATATTGAGGGAAAACAGAAACTGGAATTTCCAATTATATTTGGGTCAGTTCTCATTGGTCAGACGTGTCACGTTTCTTAAAACCGTAGATATTTTTTATTAATATGTAGTTTTATGAAGATTCTTGTATGTCTCAGTGGGCATCGAATGGTAATGTGTATTCGTAATTGTGTATGTGTTTCTGTCTAGTCGGAGTTCTTATATCTTCCCATTTGTGCGATCAGCCTACGCTGCGAGTTGTCACAAGATAGATATAAGCAGGGTGAGATATTGAGAGAGAGAGAGAGAGAGAGAGAGAGAGAAAAGAACAAATAGATAGAGATAGATAGATAGATAGATAGATAGATAGATAGATATCAACAGGGATAGATAAAGAGAACAACCTCTTCAATATAATATAATATATAAAAACCAAAAAGATTAATAGTTAGAAATCATACCTTTGAGAAAGGATGGCCAGAGATATGCTGGGAATTTGTATCTGGTGTTCGGAGGAAACACGCATATCTTGCCGCACTTGTGACTAGCACAGCACTTCATGTTGAACGCGCAGTCTTGGTCAGTTTGACAATGGAAGCCAGCTTCGTTACTGCATTCGCTCCAGTAACTCGGACACTGTCCATCCTGGCTATCCGAGGCAGTCCACAAGGCTATAAGCAAACTCGATCCATTAGTAATTGTGACAAGCGCCAGCGGCGTACACGTTTTCATACATGCATTCAAGCCCTTATATACATAAGAAGGACGCATATACCTATCACATATAGATATACACACACTTTCGCCAACATGCATGTACATTCACAGAAAAGTCTTTACTCCCATTTGTCTATATATTATACAAGGTTGTATGGAGAAGTTTTTGAAGCCATGGACGTGCTGTGATTGTATTGTTAAATGGGAAATAACGTTCATTGATACCTAACCTACTGAGTCAGTCTACTAATTGGCTTCTACTTGTGTTCAGTTATTACGTTGTGTTGCAATGGCTCTGCGATCTTTACGATGACCGAAAAATTTGAACAGTGTGTCAAATATTACATAAAATCTGCTACTGAGATCTCCGAAAAGCTATGTCGGGTTTTTAGCAAATAATTTTTAGGTTAATTAGAGGATTTTTTTAAAGCTGCTCGTGTGTCGATTCAAGTCGATGAGAATTCTGGGCGATCAATCACCAGCAAGACCACAGAATACGTGGAAAAAATAAACAACCATGAGCTTAACAAGGACAATTGATTTATTTATAAAATATTGGGTTTGTTAAAACTTTCGTTCGGTTTCTGAAGTATATTTTTTATTTAATAAGCGAGTAAGTATATGCTTTAGGTTGTAAGTGTGTTCTTTATTCTTGTTCAAAATTGAACTATATAAAAGTGTACTCAATTTTGATCTATCCTGGAATCCATGCGACATCAAATAGCTTGTATAATAAATGAGGCAGATTTTCTATCTTTTTTTTTTTTGATACGCTGGCATGGAGACGTTTCGGAGAAACAACATAAAATGATTATACACCTTTATTTTATTAAGAAGTTAAGATTGTTTAGCAGTATGCTTTTAGTAGTAGTGTCTGTAGACCTTAAAGATTGGAATATAAGGTGTTGCGTTTTCATAGATACCGTGTAACAAAAAATACACCACTTTGAGCTGCTTGAAGGGTAAAAAAGGTCAAGCTATTGGGCCAAGGAAAGATAATGATAAAGTCATGATAATATGCAAATTTCTAATTAAGAATTGTTCATACTTATTAACATGAGTATTAAGTGCCTTGGCAAATCATTGTAGTTGAATATTAGCTTGCTTTTTACACTAAAATCATGGCTAAAATTTCTGCTGAAACAAAAATGAAGCTTGTGATTTGACTCGACGTGAGATAGCCAAGCGACTAGGAATTTTCAGAAACAGTGTTCTAAACATCTCTAAAACGTTTGCTGCATCTAGAAGTTTTTTTAAGTGCAAGTAAAACCGGAAGACCTTTTGTAGTCTTCCGGTTTGACGAGAGAAATGAAAGAAACATTATGAGGGTTTCAGTAGGTAACCCAAACTTAACATTCAGATGAGTGAGGAATGAATGCTGCCTGAAAGTAAAAGTGAGGTTTCCGTTGATATAGTTCTGTGTCCCACTTGGCTTAGGGTGGAAAGATATGAGGGTAGACCGTTGAAAAATCGAAACAGCACTAAGACGGCACGACACGTCGTAAACTCAAAAACGTATTTATTTAAACTGCCTGCTTGACAGTCTTGATCCCAGCATTCCCTAGTGGGATAGGAAGTCCTTACAATCATCATTACTGATATTGTTATAACACAGCGTATTATGGAAAAACAATTTGAAGGGGCGTATAGCAACAGAAAAAAACATAATTGACCAAAAACATCGAAACAGAAGACTGATTTTGCCTAACGAGATAAGTTTGCTAACTGTTACCCCACGTCGAAGTGCTCAAGATAGAAACTTATATATATAGTGGAGGATGGACTACAACAAACGTCGGTTACAATTCTATATCGATAAAAGCTGAAAAAAAAAAGATGTTTAGTTTTATATTTAAAATTTAAAAATTTTAAAACTTCTGGTGGCTGATGTTTTTAACCTAACGCACCTCATTCAGCTTTCTACTGTTTTTTTTTTAAATTTGTTTTATCGCTACTGATTTTAAATATCCCATATTGTAATAGCAGTAATTTTGTTAGGAAATTGTTTGATTTGTTTTTTACGGTTTATCAACCTTTTATAGGTTATTTACAGATAGAAAATATTTTTTAGATTATTTACATTGCTCGGACTATCATATGTTCTGTGAGTTCAATACCTGGTTAAGACGGTGGAGAACTTGGAAAAGGGAACAGGAGATAACTGACATCTATTAGACATGGCATGTGGAACAGTCTACCCCAACGAGCGAAATAAAGGGTTCAGTTCGATATTCCAACCACCTGATGAAGGCTGGAGCGTACAACGACCGAAACGTGATAAATATGGCAACAAAGATGAGGATGATAGTCCGAGCAATGTAAATAGTGTATATAATACCTCATCTCAGAAATATAGAGAGATACTGAATATTTTTTAGATTGTAAGATTTTTTTCTGAAATAATGATTTACTGATATAAAGTCCTACTAATTAACCCGTAGCTGGGGGAGAAGATTGGATTCATACCTTTCCCAACAGTATTTATTCATTACATCATCTGCACTTCCTGAAATTCCAAAGCAGTCACCCATACTGACCAAGCTCGATGTTGCTTATACAGCAATGTCAATTCTGGAAACAGTGCCCCCAAAACAATCTGTGGGTCCCAGCGTATGGATAACAGATTATAAGAAGTTTTTGATATAATAATGGTTTAGTGATATAATTCTTACTAATTAACCCATAGCTGGGGGAGAAGAAGTGGATTTATACATTTACCAACGGTATTTGCGCGTACGTGAATATAACAAACTCAACTAGAACTCGGTTCTCCGATTTCCAATTCTGAGTCGTTATCCATTACACCAGCTGTACACCCAAGCTTACTGCACCTTGTAATTCCAAATGATCACTTATCTAGATACGGACCTAGCTCGATGTTGCTTAACTTCGGTGATCGTGCGAGAACCGGTTTTTCAACGTGATATGGCCGTAAGCTTTTGTTAGGAAGGGAGATTATGCGTGTAATGGGTTTTAGAATCCGGAGAAGAAACAGGCTAATATCTAAGCAACTTGAACATCGTTGGGCAGTTTACATCCATCGTGTATAGAAGAGAATACCTTTCACAGACTGATCTTCGAGGCCATTAAGAAATACTTCCTGGACATCTAGCTAACAAAAAATAGCCGACGAGGAATGTGTTCGATATTTATTGGTATTTGTATTTCATTGGCAAGATAGTCCTAGGCATAACGATAAATTACATCCGGCAGCAAGGTTTCTGATCGGGAGAGTGGAGGTTTGATGAGTGTTGAACCGCCTTTTAATTGCTGCTGTTCACAAGTTCACTCTGACCCGCTTTTGTAGCACCTGTTAGGGTCTCAGCTAAGGGTAAATTGTGAAACTATTAAAGTATGAAAAAATATTTTTATAGCAAAAATACCAGCAATACATTTTTATATAAAATTACTAACAATACATATTTATAGTAAAATTACCAGCAAATTATATTTAAAGCGAAATGACCAGCAATACATTTTATAGTGGAATTACCAACAGAACATTTTATAGCAAAATGACCAACAATACATTTTATCAGTAGTTTAGGCATACAATTTCGTTCAGTATATATTTAATTGAAGACATAAATTTGTGTTCAAAATATTTAAATTTCGGCATTAAATAACCCATAGAGGTGTTGATATGCCAAATCAACCATTGGTATGAAGGAATTTCCATTCAGACAGTTTCTTCCCAAGAGCCACTATTTTATGGAATAGACTCCTGAGAGGTTGCTTCATCGAAAACTACAATATTCATATTTTCAAATCTAGAGTCAAATGTTTCCTGTCATATATATTACTTACACCCTCTTTCCTAGCTCCATACAACAATCTAATTTATTAACCCTCTACCTTGAGGGGCTCTTGAGTCTTGTATTTAGTAAATATTTACGAAATAAAATTGCCACAAGAATAAGAAATAATGTGTGTTGAGCATATGTGAAATGCAATATGTTTGGTTTCCCATTCATTAATACCAGAATCTTCTTTAGGCTTACGGCCACACCAAGTTGAAACACCGGTTTCCATACGATCACTGAAGTTAAGCAACGACGAGCCTGGTCAGTAACATAGATGTGTGAACCCCTGGGAATACCAGATGCTGTAAGTTTGGATGTGCGTGTAGAGTAATGGATAATGGCTCGGAATTTATTCGAAGAACCGAGTTCTAGTTCCGATTAGGTTCGTTATATTCACATCCGAAAATACCCTTAGGAATGTTACAAGTGCACCTCTTCTCCCCCAAAATGGGTTAATTAGTAATACTCGCATCACTAAATCATTATCTAAAATATTTATAATCTAAAAATATTTTCTGGCTTTAAATAACCTGCATAGAGTTGATAACCCATGGAAAACGGATGAATCACTCAAATACTGATTAGCTACACAGGTATGTCTTTTAGATTTATTTACATCCTCTAGAGTGTAACTACTACTGTGACCTCAAACTGAGAGATCATTTGATTACAATATAGAATTAATCCCCCACTTTATATCCGCGTTATATTTTACGAATTAGCGATGAAGTCACCTCTTCTCTCTCAGCTTAGTAAAACTCGTATCACTAAACCATTATTATCTCCGGAAACAAAAAAGAATTCTTACAATCTAAAAATATATTCTAGCTTTAAATAATCTGCAATGGGTTGATAAGCCGTAAAAAACGAATCAATCAATCAATTAATGAGTCACTCGGAATCTTTTAAGCACAACTCTGGTCTCGCGCAGGACTAAGTTTATATTTTCAGACAAACACATGAAGAGAAATAATTGCGATGAAACAGGGAGAAGTTATACGTAGAGATTTTTAATAGACTTACCCTGACAACTTGGTATTTTCCAACATGGAGGATTTGAACACGTGATCTCCCAAGCCACACAACGAAGTCCAGCAGGGCAAAAGAATTGCTACGAATAAAACAAAAATGACATAAAACAAAGAAGAGCTGAAAATAAAAAATAAAAATCCTCAGTCAGACCAAGCTAAAAAATTCAGACTTAAATCCAATCTTTTAAGGAAAGAACAGAATCCCAGTTTAGGAAACTGGGTAGGAACTTGAAGTTTTCAGTATCTCCTCGTATTATTTAGTTCCAACAAAACAGGCACAAAAGAGATTTTCAATCGTTTAGTTTCTAATGTATAGGAGTGTCAGGGATATACACAAATCGTGAAAGATGACTTGTAGGAGATTCTCAATTAATATTAGAAAATTACTGGTGCTGAAGAAGAGATATGAAGCAACAGAAATGAGGTTCTACAGAAGGATGCTGAGAATACCATGAACTGAACATGTGAGCAACGACAATGTTTTAGAGAAAATGGAAGCAAGAAGGACACATACTTAATATCAGAGTGATAGTCGAAATTTCCAGGGTACATAAAGAAGAATTCTTTACAGCTTTCCCAAGACCCACAAAACTGGTATTTCTATGCGCGCCATCATTTCAAGAATAGGCATCCCCACCCCACGAAAAATCAACTAATAAAAATGATCTAATAAACTTCTACTCCAATAATAACAAAATAAAATCTGGAATAATCATTGGATTCTATTTAAGAGCAATCAGAATTTGCAGCCCTTAATATTTACACGAAGAGGAGAAATATATTGAAAATACTTTCAAGACCCTTCAATATCTTATTTCATATTCAATGCGAAACAAAAGGCTCGTAAAATATTCACAAATAGAAAAGCTGTCCTTCCTGACAAATGCAACGAATCAAAAAATATATTAACGAATGAATCGTATCACAAAAACGTTTTCCCTATTTTTACCTAAACAATTAACTTACTTCCGATATATTGATAATGCCCTATTAATCTATCCCTACGATACTAACTTAGCGTAACTTGTAGATAAACTAAATAAAGTCGAACCTACAATAGAATTTACATCCGAAATAGAAAACATAATACTTTACCTTTCTTAGACATCATGTTACAACGAGATGAAAACAGCTGAAAACCAACCAATAAAAATGACCTAATAAATTTCTTTTCCCATCATAACAAAATAAAATCCGGAATGGTTGGAGAAATCTTGAGAAGTTTAAACAAAAGACTATATGGACACAAAAGAAACATTTTAAAAAGCAACGTACAAACCATATTGGTTGTTCCCCGTAACAAAACTGACCACAATTTTGACATAAAAAATGCAGCTCGATTTAAAAGAGAAAATAATTCACTAATACGAAAATGCCTAGAACGTGCTTTAATCGCCAGTTAAAGTCACAGTAAATTTACGTCCAGGTTCTTACGACGTATCACCAATCACCATTCTTGACATATTTTCTGTTATACATACATACATGTTGATTGTTCCATCTTCACAGATGACTGCCGTCTTGCCGATCAACACTTACATCCAGTCTAGATAATTGTTTCCCCTCGAATGACTTCAAAGGTGGCTCTTCAAACCAGCAGCTGATTTGCAAGCTCTATAGAATAGATGACAGATGTGCTCCAGAGTCTTCACAGGGTTAAGTGAATGTTGCTGTGGTAGGTCATCCTTGTGTACCACCATATGCCTCTTCAATCCAGATGTCGATACACATACACACACACGCGCGCGTGCGCACACACGTGTGTACGTGTGTTCCTGTGTAGGTGGAGCTAGCTAGATTTAAAAAAACTCGGATCATTATGGTTGACAAATTCAAACATATTAAGATGAGAACATTTTGGGATAGACAGATATTAAAGAATGACTTTCAAAGGAATATAAACTATAGCTATAAATCGTCGCCAGTCGTTAACTTGTCTTGTTCATGTGTCGTTATTAAATTAGCAAATGTTAATTCCTTTATCATTTGGCATTGTATGCTGCGATCGCCATTTACAAACGTTTGTACAACTGCTTTTTTTTTTAACTTCTCCATTATTGCATACGCCTGACACAATCGATGTTTGCACGCCTTCCAAAAAGCATTAATTCTGTCTTATTGATTCAAGCAAAATAGCTGCTCCTTTTACTCAAAAAAGAACATAATGTATTATCAATCATTTCACAATACCTCGTACTACAGCAGCGCAGAATCGTTTGAGTGGTTTTATGCTATGCCAAACTTTGTTCGATCATCCAATGTAAAGTTTTCTATGCGGCACCCAGTGAGGATCGAAGTCACTATTCAGTAAATGTTAAGCAAATTAACCGCGGTAGCCATTACTCCAAACCGAGGCGCCTATTTAATAAAGTTGGTTGTTTTTTTTTTTTACATGTCACTCTTCGTTGGGTAATTTGCTGTTAGATTTTGTATGGCGCAACCAGAGATTTTCAAACTCGCAACTCGGCGGTATTGGCCAACCTTGTTCACCATTACTCGTCGCCAAGACCCTTATTTAGCTGGCTTACGGCCACATGACGTTGAAACAATCATTCCTGTACGACCACCAAAGGTAAGCAACGTTGAGCCTGGTCAATACCTAGATGGGTGATCGCTTGGGAATTTCGGGTGCTGTAAGCTTGGAAATGCGGGTGGTGTCATCAGTAAAAGCTCGGGGTTTGAAATCGGAGAGACGAGTTCCAATTCCAGTTGGATTCGTTATATTGGAAAAATTATGAATCCACCATATACACCCCCAGATATGGGTTAATTAGTAAGATTCATTAGTATCTACCAAAACCTTTAAAATCTAAAATATTTTATGGCTTCAAATAAACTGAAAAAAGTTGTTAAGCCGTAAAATATAAATCAATGGAATCTTTCTAGACTTTGTGGGAATATAAGTTCCGGAGAATACATATCGATCTTACAAATGACGGTTGGGACTGTCAACAGCAGCAACAACTAAAATGAATAGCACTGTAATATGAAAAGAAAATAAGGTCATGATCAAGATATTGACATTCCACACCATTTCAAATAGACGATTAGGAAGGAACCCCTCCCCCATCAATACCCGAAAGAGCAATAACAGCTACTGAACTCGAGAAACCTGTTTCTCGAAAAATTGATTTAAGAGAAACTTTTTATAAATTTCAAAGAAAAACCAGTACTGGCAATTCGGTCAATGAATGCTAAATGTTTCCTTGTAGGGAAACGGCTAATGCTACCATTACCATTTGAATAAAAACTGCATCTCAATAGCGAGCACCAGACCATAAACCATCCATTAACGCTTGCTTCGTTGTGTCACTCTCGGAAGAATCTGACTCATAGCTGATTTCAGAGTATGAATTGACCTAAAGTTGCTTTTAGGATCCTTTTCGCCATCACCGACCAAACGCTGAAATATTTTTCAGCTACGATGAACGATTCTACTTTTAATGAAGCTTCTTACTTTGAATGCCTGCTGGCTCTAAATTTAATTCAGACTCGAACTCATATATACACCACATAGCTAAAGATGCAGTAAAAAAAAAAAAAATGTCCGACTCGTTCTATCGGTCGAGGTAGTTTTTTGACTCCTTCGGCCAGGCTTTAGTCTCGTCCTGGGTATGACGATAAACTACATCCGCGTCCTGGATAAGACGATAAACTACGTCCAACAGCGAGGCCTCTGATCCGGAGGTTTTGAGGAGCGTGGAACCACCTCTTAATTGCTGGTGTTCCCAGGTCCACCCTGGCCCGGGGTGGTAACACCTGTTAGGATCTCAGCTATGGGCGAATAGTTAACACCCAAACTTGTGTAAAAATAGGTTTTAATACCAGAAATACTTTGTAATGAAAAAAATATTACCAGCAATACTTTTTGAAGGAAATACCAGCAATACAAACAGTTATATATTCTTTTGAAAAATATGACCAGCTATAGATTTTTTGAAGAAAAAATATTCCCAAAAATAGATTTTTGGAGAAAAAAATATTACCAGCAATAAAAATTTTGTCGGCATTAAATAACCCATTGAGGTTGATAGCGATTTTTCAAGCGTGGCTTAGATGTGGCACAAGGTCCAAAGCGTGGGGCACCCAGTGAGGATCGAACTCACTACTCAGTCGCAATTGTTCTAGCGAGACAAGCTTGCTAGCCATTACACCACCTCGAGGTGCCGAACACGTTGAGGTTGATATGCCGTAAAACAATCCAAACCAAACCGAACCAAACCAAACCAGGCTTTAGAGATTAAATGGAATATTGTTGTCTTATCTGGTCTTGAGTTGCTGAATCCATACTTTCTAGCTTCGATAAAACTCAAAATCCATTTACACCGTCTTCTCCACTCTGCAGCCTTTTCCCCACACTCGCAATGTTGCAAGCCTTTCGCTATTGCCATGACAAGTGTTCAGATAAGTGCTCCATTCTTTAGTTCAACAATTTAAGAACTTTAAAGCGAGAAAACCACATGCCACTATCTTTTTTCTTTTTATATGCCGTGTCCCTTCAGGCGATCATGGCTCTCCACTTCCTTCTCTATCCCTTGTAGCTCTCAATTTGTCCCTTTGCTACACCCCCAGACCATGTTCTGTCATCCACTTGCTTACACCCGCTAAGTATGCCATGCGTTGCTTTCTCTTGTCTCTCTTTCTTTCTATTTGACTTGTGAGTATCAAATTCTCCAAACCCTCCTTTCTCATTACGTGTCCCAGAAACGGCAACTTCATCTTCTTGATGTTAAGTATAAGCTTCCTCCTTGTTTGCATCCTCTCCAAAACCTCATCGTTGCTCACACGCTCGGTCCATGATATCCTTAGCATCCTTCTGTAGAACCATATCTCCGTTGCCTCGAGTCCACTATCACGGAAACAAATAAAATAATTTCTTCCGTATTCCATTCATAAGGCGGAAGTTCCACTCAAACAGCTTTTTTTCTCCCCAAAACTGCTAATTTATGGAACAGATCCCACCCCGTGGATTCTCTAACATCTTCAAGTCAAGGGTCAATCATTATTCTTATCCTAATATTCTTTACTTCCTAACATCTCCACTTCAGTAATGCTCTGCCCTAGTGGCTCTCAAGCTTTGTATTGGATGAACTAAAGTATAAAAGAACAAACATCAGTACGCTCTCGTATTAAAGATTACCGAATTGTTATCGCTCCGATTCACTTCCCTAAATCTAATCAAACATTAGAACTTATTTTGAAATTTTTAATTAGAACAAGAACTTTTCAGCAGATGCTGTACTGGAAGTTTCTTTGACTAAATGGCCAAACATTAGAATTTAAATTGCAATTCTTGACCGGGCCCACAATTTTTTCAGCAGATTGTTGGCTGGGTGTTAAATAGTTCTGAGACCAAATAAGGAAACATTCGAGTTTAATTTGAAATTAGGGCTTTGGCACCAAATCTTTCAACAAAGTGGGTTCTGGAAAATTATCTGAACAAATATTATTTCAGCAGAGTGTGTGGTGAAAATTTTCTTTGTCAAATGAACAAATATTAGAATTTCATTTGAAATTATTGACCGGACAAATAATCTTTTAGCAGAGGAAGTGCCGGCAAATTCTTTGACCAAATATTAGAATTTAAGTTGAAATTCTTGATCGGGCACACATTTTTTTTCAGCAGTGGTTTGGTTTGGTTTACGGCACATCAACTTCACTAGATTATTTAATGCCGACAAGATTTTTTATTGCTGGTAATATTTTTTTTCAAAAATGTATTGTAGCTAACATTTTTTGACAAAAATGTATTGCTCGTAAAAATCTTTCTTCAAAAATGTATTGCTGGTAATATTTTTTTAAAAAATGTATTGCTGGTAATATTTAAAAAAAAATCATTGCTGGTAATAATTTTTTACAAAAATGTATTGCTGGTATTAAAACCTATTTTTACACTTTCATAGTGCTTTGATCCAAGTTTCGGGATTAATTATTTACCCATAGCTAGGACCTCAACAGGTGCTACCACCCCGGGTCAGAGTGGACCTGGGAACACCAGCAATTAAGAGGTGGTTCCGTGCTGCAGCAGTGGGATGTGCTAAATAGCTCGCTGACGAAATGAGCAAACATTAGAATTTAATTTGTAATTGGGAACTGGGCCCTTAATTTTTCAGCAGAGTGGGCGCTGAAAATTTCTCTGATCAAATGACCAGGAATTAGAATTTCCTCAAAGATTAACATGCTTAATTGATGAATTGACATCATTCCTCTGTATACTTTTATAAATTCGTACGAGCATCTAGAGAAACTTTCATCTGTATTGACTGGATCGTTGCAAATTCATTTTTTTCCTTCGACAGAAAATGAAGAAACAAGAATAAAAGTAAAGACGAAAGAATATTTTCATGGCAAGAGCGTGTGTTTTAAACACACTAAAAACAACGTCTCTTTACGGCTTGACAAACTTCTGTTGATACATGATTGTCTTCCCTTTAGTGCAATCGATATATAAATACGACTGAAGGAAGCTTAGAAACCGATCAATTCTTTCTGGCTAATTTTTTCCCCGCCAAAATTTACCTGGCAGACATCAGGTTGGTGAGCGGCTGAAGAAATCTAAGAAAAGAAAAAAAAAGAAGAAATAGATGACAGTGAAAGAAAAAAAATAAAATAAAATGAAGATATTCGAAAACCAGGAAATAAAATTGTGTATGATTTTCATTAATCTCAATCAGGAGAAACAGTTGAATGCTCTCTGGAGTATATATATATATATATATATATATATATATATATATATATATATATATATATATAATATATTAGTGGTAAATATACACATACACATGCAAAATATACAGATATATATACATAGGTGCATACACATAAATGTATATTTTTTGAATAAAAAAAAATTCAATTTTAGTTTTCCCCGCCCAATCTCTCTCCCCCACCTCTTCTTTCCTTTCCTTTCCTCTCCCTCCCTCTTATTCTGATCTTTAACATTAGATCGTCTATGGTGTGTGTATGTCAACACGAAATGTATCTTTATGTATTAGACATCCGAAAACATTCATATTTCTCTTACTTAAACCCCTTCCACTCACCTCTCCTAAAATCCTCTCTGTTAAGGTTTAATCTCCCTCCTTCTCTCGTCTGTTACCCCTCTCTATAGCTCTAACATTCGTCCCACACCCTCATACTTACACTCTCTCTAAATTCTGTTTTTATTTCCGGTGTTGTTTTTTCTATTTTCTTTTTGAAATTGTAGGTCTGATGAATTGGATCGTGTTTACGATTTCAATGGAATAAATTATGACCATGGAATATTAGTGTTTAAGCCTTTTTATTATATATATATATATATATATATATATATATATATATATATATATATAATATTACATAATAATATTATATATAATAGCTGGCCACTCGCATTCGAGAATACCCGTCTATTAAGGTGGCTAGCCAATCCTTAATTCAGACGCTCGCTTAGGCAGATTTGTGTTTGTTCAACACCCACAGAGGCCGCCTGTGGTTTATACTGTAACTATGCTGAGCAGACAGTTTGTGAGAGAGTGTGTTATCTATCGTGATCGACATTCTGAACAAGGCCAGCTCACTCAAACCTTCGGTCACGATGACTTGTGACTTCGTGCTAGCCCAAATGTTCCGTCTACCTAATTTCGCGGTTTT